GTCTGTTGGTGATAAGTTGAGTCACTTGGGGATTGTCTAGCCGTAACTACCAATAGAGCTTGAGAAGTAGTGGTTACTGGGCTAGCGGTATGACTAGCGCATGTGATATTATAGGTGTACAGCTAACTCCGTCATTGCATTGGAAGGGCGGAGCTATCGCAGACGATCTAACGATAGGCTGCGAAAACTCCATCCCCGCCAAAGATGAACTTAAGAGTAGTCTTGAACGAATATTGCTCCCTGTATAATAGGTCTACAGCTAACTTCGTCATTGCATTGGAAGGGGGGAGCTATCGCAGACGATCTAATGATAGCCTGTGAAAACTCCATCCCCGCCAAAGATGAACTCTTGATAGGTGTACAGCTAACTCCGTCATTGCATTGGAAGGGGGGAGCTATCGCAGACGATCTAACGATAGCCTGCGAAAACTCCATCCCCGCCAAAGATGAACTTAAGAGTAGTCTTGAACGAATATTGCTCCCTATATAATATGTCTACAGCTAACTTCGTCATTGCATTGGAAGGGGGGAGCTATCGCAGACGATTTAACGATAGCCTGTGAAAATTCCATCCCCGCCAAAGATGAACTTAGTAGTCTTGAACGAATATTGCTCCCTGTATAATAGGTCTACTGCTAACTCCATCATTGCATTGGAAGGGGGGAGCTATCGCAGATGATCTAACGATAGCCTGTGGATGGACCGCCAAAGATGAACTTAAGAGTAGTCTTGAACAGATATTTATGTCCGAAGCTTCTATTAACTGGTCTAAATCTGTCTATTTCCTACCTTCTCTCTTCACTCTTAAGGTTGACTGGGGACTGAGGCGGATTCCCACAGAAAACTCGGAACGGTTTCTGGGCATACAAGTTTCCCTGTCGGACTGCTCTAAGACCCAAGACCAGATTTTGTCCAGTCGAGTAATAGCAAAAATTCATGGTTGGACAAGAAACCACAAACTCTCCCTCTTTGGGAGAGCTTCGGTGCTTTCTTCAGCCGCCTTTTCGGTCTTATGGTTTCCTCTAACCATTTGCCTGCTGGGCAAGGAGGCCTATGCAGAGATTAAACGGGCTGCAGCAAAGGTATTTGTGGAAACCGACTGCAGAGGAGGATCAGGGCTTTATGGTCAAGGTGGCTTGGGAGGCGATAACCCACCCCCAGTCAAAAGGGGGATTGGGGATTCTGGACCCCCCAGACCCAGAACATCGCCCTTTTGTCCAAATGGGTGATCAAGGCTATGTTCAAAGACCCATCCAAGCTTTGGATACAATTTGCTCAATGTATCTTGGTTAAGGAGTGGTCCCTTTCCAATAAGGTCGATGTGTGGGACTGTTCCTTGGTTCCATCCTTCTTGAATAGACGACCGAAATCAAAAATCTGGAAGGGGATACTGCATCCTTGGAAGAAGGTATACCCTGGCCTGCTGAGACAGCCTGAGACCAAGAAGGAAATCGCCAACCAGCCCTTGTTTGAAAATCCTAACATTCTACAACTAAACACGGAACCGTTCTCGGCAGGGGAAGGTGCCGGTAATTTTGGTAGGGCACGGGCAGAAAAAGGGGTGATACGGATCAAACATCTGTGGGATGAGGAAACTGATGATTGGTTATCGTCAGAGGGTCTAAAATAGCTCTTGCCTAGACTACAAGTTCCGGAAAACAGAGCTAAACTACTGCAAGCTATCCCCCAACATCGGACTTGTATTCTTAAAAAGGAAAGAGAGAATGTGGGAGGCACATGGCTCAGACCAGAGGAAGAAAATAAAGTGTGGCGAGTGACTGGTTTAAGAGTGGGAGAATGGGAGATGACTACAACAGGGATAAGTAAAGGACAACTGCAGAAAATCCAGGAAAAGTGTGTGCCTGCTACTATAGACCAGACCGAATAGATATATATATATATATATATAGTTCTACAGTCTGACAAGAGAATGATCTTCTTGGGGGACGCAGATCAGCTTAGGGTCGAGCCCCTGCTGCTGGGCTGGTCCCTCACTGATCAGTCTGCTAGTCCCAGCCATGAAATGGTCCTGTACAGATATAAACCCAAGACTGGAGTCAGACGGCTTCGTTCGGCCACAGTCAAAACTCCCATGAGGTTGGCGTCCTCTCGTTTCTCGAGGCTGAAAGGACACCACGCTCTGCAGCCAGACTGGGAAATGCAGTGGAAGGCTCTCCGGCGTATTTCGTCGCAGAAAGATGCAAGCTTAATACGGATGCAATCTGTACAAGTCACCCCATCAGCATTGTAACTTTCGTCCAGAGGCATGAACATACCGATAACCTGTAGCCGCTGTGATTGGGGATGGGAATCGAGTTCACATTTATGCCTCCAGTGCCCGTCAGCGGATGAAGTTTGGCTCTGGTGGTCTGAACACTGCGCTGCCATAACGGGTAATTGCTTCCCCTGGTCGGACGATTGGGTATTATTTGGCATCCTCCCAGACTCCAGTTTCAAACTTGCAGAGGGCTGGGGGTGCATAGCGTTGGTTTGCAAGGGGTTAATAATGCAAGAAATCTGGAAACCGAGAAACGCTTTGATTTTTCATAGCGAAAGAATTTCATCCTAACAACAACAGTTCAGCATCAGATACAATATCAGACACATCATTCAAGTTGATTGGAAAAGAGCAGCGGGACGCCAAGGGTTAGGCCGGCCTTGGTTTCTGCAAACATGGTCTTTGGGTAGCCGGCTAGCATGGTTAACAAGGGAAGGAAAGGTGGCAATCTCAGGTTGTCGGAAACCTCCGTGACTTGGCAGGACTGGGCCGATATAGACCTGGTGGGTAGCAGAGGGTTAGGCATCTACTAGCCTATCTGAGGGGAGGTTTGAGGTTACGTAAGGTTTGCTAGCGTGCAGTTCTGAAATTCATATGATAGCTAGGCCTGTGGTTACCAGAGTGGCCCGAGGTCACTTGCCCGGCCGGGCCAAAAAGATTAAAAAAAATATATATTTTTAAAATATTTTAAAATTTTATTTTATATTTTAAATTTCGTATAGTATTTTTTTTAAAAAAGGGCGATGGCCTTAAGAATAATAATCGGACTAACCAGCCCAGGTAAATTCAATCTTGTGTCTAATCTGACAACGGTGGCCTTTTCAGCCCAGGGTGGCCTGATAGCCTTCAGGGATCCCCCACTGGGGGGCACCGGCCAGGGGACAGCCGGTAGCAGAGGGAACGAGCATCATCTGATTTCGATGTGAGCCTGAGGCAAAACTTGTTTAGTTTATTTTCTACATAACATAATATTTGGGACCTTCCCTTGTCCTCGCGTGGGCTATCCACCCCGGGCAGCCCGGCTGGCAGCCTAGTATGATAGTTGATAGAAAACGATCTGGCAATGGTTATTCCAGAAGATTATTTTCCCAGTGGGGATTCCTTTTTCTGCGCTTCAAGGAAAAACTATGTTCCTTTTTCTGCGCTTCAAGGAAAAACTATGTTCCTTTTTCTGCGCTTCAAGGAAAAACTACGTTAGGAATGGGACATTGGACCCGGTTTCCAATTTGCAGTGGCCTTCTATTTGACTACTATTCTTAAGCAAAGCTGGCTGAGGCTGCAAGGGTAACTCCGGGTTGAATTGTGAGTTCCCGGACCTCATCCCATTAATGTTTTTGCAATTAAGTTCAGATCTTGAAAAAAAAGAGAACCGCCGATACTTATCAACGGCAGGCCCTCATTTGCCGTTTCGGCCTCTTTCCTTGTGACGACAAGTTTCGGACTACAAATCCGGGGCAATGTACTAAGGATTATTGGTCAGCCTCTTTTCTTGTGACGACAAGTTTCGGACTACAAATCAGATGCATTTCCACCGGCTGGTAGGGCCCATCTTGAACACACATCTTTTTTGTTCGTTGCCACTGCGTGCACTTAAAACCTTCTTCGTAGTAAAATTTGCTGTTTCATCCGCGCACATTTCTGCGTCCTTTCGCTCTCCTAGACAGGAACAGAACCGCATAGCCATGCAACAGAACCGCAGATGCTCATCAAAGCATCCATGCTCCACAATGAAGACTACGCTAGGATGTTTCAGTTTTCAGTGGCCATAAGACGATATGGTCAAAAGGTTTACTGTTTACAAGCACCCATGTCAAGCCGAAAAAGATAGCCGATTATTTTATGGATCAGGTTTCCCATCAATTTCATATATACTCGCTCGCTCGTCCGGACCTGCAGAAGGTACCCGTGTGCACTGGAACACCACAAGCTCGTACACATATACGCACACGAGTGTATGTGCCATGGGGGTGCAAATTATACAATCAGTTAATGCGCGGAGAGCATCAGAACTACACGTTGGTTCTTGATGATCGGGTGGAAAAAAAATAAAATTGATTGCTTCACTCCAAGCGGCAAATTCAGCTCCCCCCCCCCCCACCACCACCACCACAAACACACACACACAGACGAGAGCACAACTAGACAACGATCGACAGATCTCAGCCTCTTTTAAAAATAAAAACTCGGTTGGTTACTAGAGACTGCAAAAGAATTCACATCTCGTCAAATGTTGACAACCAACGTCAATTTGAAGAGACCTTAACACTGTGGGATCTTTTCCCCATTTGGAGGACGTGGGCCAAAAGGGAGCAACAACCACTTGGGATGGATGGTTGCCTCACCCTCGCAACCACCTCATATAACTTCCACTCATTCCTGACCGGAATTTTGGTAGGAGGGGACCATTGACAGTCACTCATAACGTACCTACAGTCTTCCCCCGAATACAACGTATGGTCATTATAGCTGAAAATTTGGTGCATCTTTCAGTCTAAATTCATTTATAATGACCATACGTCGTATTTGGGGGAAGACTGTACCGCAATGTGGTGGTACAATTGTTGCTCTTTCGTTAAAAACTTAAAACAGGTGACGCCGACAACGAAATATTCCTTCCACTCTGCAGCAAGTTGACAAAAATCCAACAACGTGGAACGAATAAGAAATCCAACAAGCAAAAAAAGAATGATGGGAGTTTTCTGGCAGAAAAAAAAACGAACGCTTCGCAGAATTGAACAAAATACAGGATCATTTCCTCTCAGGTAGGAAATCTCAAACGAGAAGAAAATTAAGAGAAAAAAAAAAGCGATGTCAGGATATAATATACGTAGCTGCCGTGATGAAATAACTCAGAATTTTTGTCAACGGTTGAGGTTACAAAGCGGGGGGGGGGGGGTATCAAATTGCACTGAACAGATTTTCTTTGCACGTCAGTGCATATCCCCACTCGCTCCAAAACCTCAAGAGTCCCTTGAGACCAACAACAAGGACATCCTCCGGATGGCACAACACCAAGATGACCATGCATGCACATTCATCCTGATAATCATATAACAGAAGATGGGGTGATTAACTAGTAGCAATCAAATGACCCACCACCACAACCTACTAGGGAATGCAGCAAACGGACAAACAAATCATTTGTGCCAAACAGACATCCAAATATCTCAAACAATGCCCATAACCTGCCCAGAGAAATGAGGACAGATTCCTCCCCCTTCAGATCACAAATATAAAATGTATCCCTAAAATTCCAGATGCCTGCACGGCCATCCAGACCACACATCTCTGTATTGATTGTGCCCAGGTGGAGCACTCCCGCCCACCCTTCGCCTTGTCCCTTGCCTCCCTTATGATCACAATCATCATAGATGGGCAATGCCGAAGCTTGCGTACTCATGCTCAAAACTGCCCTGCTGCTCATTCTGTCTACTTCAAATCTCTCTCTCTCTCTCTCTCTCTCTCTCTCGCTCGCTCGTCCCCCAGCCCGCCTTCCCCTCTTCCCAACACTCACACCTTCTCCCTTTTCTCTCCCCAATGCATTTCCCTTCCCACCTACCTTCTCATTTCGTTAACCAGCAATAACTCAAAGAGGACCATCACTCGCTACACAGGGCCTGTCTTTCCTTCTCTAGTTGGTCTTGGGCTTTGCCTTCTTCCTGCCGGTCTTGACACTCCGTGATGACCGCATGGCCATAAAGAACAGGAGGGCGCCAACGAGTGACAAATTCTGATAAACCGAAAACGGGAAACCACAGTAAACCATATCAGGCACATATCAGGCACATATCGTCACATGTCATATGTGAAGCATCGCCTAAAAGGTTAAACATACCACCACCGACTTCCGCATGCAACACCAGTGAATGGCATCCTACCATGACCACCTAAACCACAAGCAAACATTCCCTCCACCACATCCACCACTGGGTGACCGAGACGATCCCCACTGGCAATAGATCCCACCTGCGATTGATCTGCGGACTTTAATTGAGGTGCCCTGTGCTTTTTTCCCCCGCCAATGTCACCAAATTGCCACTTCTTTTCAGTTGATACATTGCATGCGCAGTCTCTGCAGCGCTGTTTTTTATGCCCACAAGCCTATTACGAACTGAGGAGCACACAGGAAGCCCAATTTGCAAGCAAGCCGAGAAAGCAGTCTTATGCCCGAGACTCGACAATCCGCACCGCACTAGATTGCCAGAGAGGGTTTGAAAAACAGTCACCTGGAAATAGAGAGGGAAAAAGAAAGGCAGAGGAATACAGATTCGGCAAAGATAGATGTAGAGAAAGCACAATTGGACAAAAGAATGGAGAGGTGGGGAAGAGAGAGAGAGAGAGAGAGAGAGAGAGAGAAGGGAGGAGGATTGCTGTCATCAACGGCCGCCCAAAAGGAGGGCCTGGGTAAGGTACGGAGTGTGAGAGAGAAGGGGGCGGGCAGAGGAAGGGTCATGGTCCCCAAGGGACACTGGCAGCATAGGGAAAAAGAAGAGAAACAAGAGAGGTGTGGGGAAGAAGTGTGACAAGAGAGGTGTGGGGAAGAAGTGTGACAAGAGAGGGGTGGGGAAGAAGTGTGACAAGAGAGGGATTCAACACCCCGTCTTCCCATTGCTTCGCACCTACAATTGTCACCCTTACTCAAATTCCACAGTCATGTGGCAAAGAAGTCACACATCTGAAGCAGCAATTAGCTCTCTTGGAGAGTGGAGGGCATCAGAAGGCGGACGCAAAAGACAAAACTAGAGAGAGAGCAGTTCACTTTCCGGATCATGCAGTCCATCGTCACAGGGCAGTGAGGGGGAACACAAGGAGCCCAGATGGAAAACAGCAGGGTTCTCAATAGGAGGAAGGGAACAATTCATCAGAGCTCATTACCTTCATAAACTGAAAGAATTCGGTCGTAAATTGCGGCGACGATGGCTCGTAGTTGTAGAAATCGTGCATGACAGGAGTTACAGCTGCCAAAAATAAAAGCTGGAAAGCAAAAACAAGACAACAGATGCAACCAAGGAACATCATAAGCACACAGAGATTAAAAAAAATATCGAGGGCACTTTCAAACAAATGCTAAGAGCACTGCCTCTGTACCAACAAAAAGATACGACAGCACATTCCACAGGCCCGCAGAGCAAAACAAGCAGCTGAAGCTTGAAATGATCTGCAAAAAAAAACGCATGAAAACAATGGAGTTGGGGACGAATGGGAACCAAAAACAAAGCAGCCAGCCACTTAAAAAAATGACAGATAGACTGAAAGTGGCGCACCAAAGACGTCAAAAGAGAATCAAACCTTACACAGCAATCGGCCTCTTATTGCAAGTCAACGAAGATAAGATTGGCGTATCATAGCAACAGACAAGAGACCAAATGCACAAAAGCGCAACCACACGATCCTCCCCATCAGTGGTTGGAAAAGATGCCAGAAACCCGCTTCAAACGGAGCTCATGAATTCCCAGTCTTTTGCTCCTGGGTAGGAGATTTGCACAGGCTGTTTTTTCGCTCGTGGGTAGGAGGAGATTTGCACAGGCTGTTCTCTCACGCCATAGGGATTACTTCTCGCAGATAATCACTGGCCTACTCCACTAACAACACTCTCCACGACAAGACAAGCATTCCATAGGCTTTCGCTTATGGAAACAGAGCCCTACTTACCAGCATAATCGCCCCTAGATTGCTGCCGACAGTAAAGAGGATTCCACCCAGACCCTCCAAAACGATCCCCGTCATGAGAAGGTACTTCTCCTGTACAAACATAACAACAAAGAACATCATCAGGTTTAGCATCACACAACGGAAAAGCATCCTCGTTCTCCGCCCACACCAACTTGAACAATCTCCAAGCGAGTGCCCCCCTAACCAAGTTAGCTGCAATCTGACAATACAATTGCAAACTCTGCAGGCTACTCTCAATACATGTTCCGTCACCCACTCCGACATCCACATTTCCCACCTTCCCCCATTCCATCTCTTCAAGGGGCACGACAGGCAGAGCTGGGGCATCCCAACGCCACCAGGCAAAGGGCTGCACCGAGTTGGAGGGGTATACTGACACAAACAGGTGAACTAGCAGGGACGTGCGACAGCAGGAACAAAGCCTTTCCAACGCACCGACCTTGTCCACATCCACTTCCCTCTAGAGGGGTATCATACAACCAGACTTCTGAGGTGCAAAATCTCATTCTCAAACAAGATCTTGTCTAGATACCATGCAAACTCAGCGCTACAGCACTCAGTGGGGAAAGACCACCACGGCAGCACAAAATAGGTACTTCCGCTATGATATTCCCACACTGCAGCCACACAAAGACTTTCTTTTATAAACAGTCAACCTCCTCCTCCCCCCCTCCCCCCCCCCTCTCCTCTTTCCACTTGTCAAGGACTGATTTTGCAGCCATATATTGCTGCATTCCAAAAATAGCCGGCCTCCCAGAATAACAGTGTCATTCATGCCTCATTGGCACCTAATACAACCCTGAAGCTGCCCTGTCATCTGGAAAGAGGCAACATTCAGAATCCATCATTATTTTTTATAATGTATGTAAATCAAATGATTACCAGAAGCATCATTATTTCATTTACGGGCCTCAAAGGGATGTCTCGGACGCCACAGCTCACCCGCCTGCAGATCCGCAACATGCACATTCCCTACACAGATAGCGACAGTGGCTGAGCATCGCAGATATCCCACCCGGGTTTGATAGTTCAATCATCAGTTCTCTTGATTTTTAGCCTCACACAAAAAGCTGGATCACACTTCCCGCCCAGCGCTTTTGGCCACCGAGCATAATTTCAAGTCACGGACAGTGTGACCTTCTGTGAATGGCAATGTGAGCTCTTCCTACCATGTCGCTACTACAACAGTACATATTGCCAGATTTTCTCTCTTTGTGGATCGATTTCATCATTATCATAGATAATGCACAAATTGCGACACAGTACATATTGCCAGATTTTCTCTCTTTGTGGATCGATTTCATCGTTATGATAGGTAAAATGCACAAATTGTGAGCATACATCGACTTCGGGAAGAATCACGCCGAGGGAGCCCGCCACATGCGTTCGAACAAGGTCGGTCTTGACAGCCAGAAGTTTCGCAGAAGGCCCTCCATCCACACCAAATTCCAGGTACCTGCAAGAGCAATTCGAGGGACAACCGGCCACACATCAGCAAACCGACCAATCAGCAGACGACAGGCAGACATACGCTCATCCAAAAATCTGAAGACGGCAAACAAATACGTGTCGTCATTGCAAATTTTGCCCGCCGTTCTCTCCAGTGATGAAAGTGCAACCGCAAATCCTTCGTCTCCACTGGGTCCCCTATATCTTATGCTGACCGTGCGGCTCATTTCTGTTCGCTCAGGACAGACCTGCAGCACATTCTGACGCCACTACACTTGGGGAGAAGTTTCTAAAAACTGGCCACATCCTCGTGTGTACCTCTTTGAGAAACAAGCCAGTTAACGTACCCGACCCTTATTCCTTCTGCGGAGCCATCCCAGCAAATGCCACTTCAGCAAGTTCGCGCTCAACTTCTACGACCACATTTCCTCCCACTTCAACAGCGGCTTCTCCGTCTACGCAGTGTTGTAACTTTTCTGTCATTCGTTTCCAGATCTTCATAACCTACGGAACTAAAGATCACAGAATCAAGGAATCATACTCACACAGAATCAAGTAAACTAACGAGAGAGACTACCGACTGTCCAAGAAGGTGAGCAGGATGACGATCATACAGGAACAAGGAGGATTAGACGTCAGACGAGTCCCGCTTCTCCCACTGAACATACTCAACGATTCTTTTCAACTGCTTCAGGAAAAAAACTACAGCGAGTAGGGATTAACAAATCCTTCACTCGCCATCATAGTGCACATGCCGAGTTCAGTACACGGCCTGATCGTCCGGTCTTGCCAATTCACAGATTTTCCCGATGGCGCCAAGATAGCGGGGTGTTGGGTCGGGGGTGGGTGGGTGAGTTGGTTGGAGGCNACAGACTCTCCAGACATGTCAATACACTGAGGCGAAGCTCCTTTAACACGGTTGTTAATGGGCAGGAAAGACTAATTAGCGTGCCCACTTTTCTGATGCAGCAGTGAGGCGTTCCACCCCCCCCCCCGCTCCTTCGGTTCTCGCCGGAAATTTCTATGCTAGCCCGCCGTTTCCAACACGCCAGAGAAAATGAAATTTCTCCTTGCACAAGGAACGCGTCTGCAAAATTGCATACTTGAATGAATCAAGCATAGGAGGAGAACGGGCCAACACCTGAGCAGGAGCTGCACGTGCTGCTCCTCATGAGAGAGAAGTGGCCAACCTGACTTAGTCGACCCCATATGCACTTCAGTACCTAGTTTCAATTCAACGATGTCCGGAAACGGAAATAGCCCTCTGGCTAATCGTATCACATGGGGTCAATCCCATTTATAGACGCTCACACAATGACCGGCAACTCGCCATCCAAAGACCAGCCACCACAAGATAGCGAGTAATAAGTCGGATGCTTGCCTCTACCGTAGTCATTCCTAATGCAGATCCAAAGACCGCTGGGAGACGGACAGCTACCATCACAAAAAACAAAGGGAAAAAAAGAACAGATAGCGCAACAAGGAAGGCTACAACCTAAGGCAGATCCAAAGACCGCTGGGACACGGACAACTACCATCACAAAAAACAAAGGGAAAAAAAGAACAGATACCATCACAAACAAACTAGGAAGGCTACAACCAGAAAAGCATCATATGGCGGCGAAGGAGATCATACGGACCCCAGAATAAAGAGATTGCCTAGCAGACACCAAGGAAAACACCGAATGCGGAGCATACTCGAGACACCGAAAGATGAGCAGCGCCACCTCAACACACAGACGAGTAGCAAATGACGCTGGATGTATTTTGACATTTCTCAGCATGACGATTCAGTACGTCGACAGAGTACAACTACAATGAACGGAGGACAGAAGTAAACGAACCATCATGGAACGCCTCCTTTAGGACATTAGCAGGGGCCCTGGGCAGGGATGGCACACAGCATGCGGAAAAAAAAAGACCCACCTCCGCTACAGCTGCGGTGGTTGAACAAGGAACTGATCAGGCACCTAACGCCGCCGAACCCTAACTTTCCGCTCATTTCAGTGGGACCCTAAAATGCCAAGATCTGGGGTCTGCGATGGACAGATGATCCTAGATTTTCCCCCGCGGACACTGCAAACTTCTTCCAATCGTCGTTAGCGTCTCGCTTCCTTTGCCTGGTCCAGATGAATAGCCCGACGTCTGCACGTAACTTGAGTGACCCTCATTCCGCCGGCGTTCATTCTGCTGCTTCTCCAAAACAAGAAAACATGACATTCTACACGTTCTTAACTTGTACATTTCAAAACGGAGGTCTCCAGTCAAATAGCGAAAACTACCGTAAAAAAAGCCCAAATCCTCATAAATTATATTTCGTCCTAATTAGCTCCTGACATCCGTATTCCACAAGGCGGGTGGGTTACCGTCAAATAGTTAACTATTCTTGATTTTTATTTCGAGAAGGAACAGTCTAAACCAAGAGAACCGCGGCGTTGAACCTACATGTAGCGCTTCAACCTGTTCCGTTCTCTCCATGCCCATCTTACTTATCCGCGAATTCTTTGTCTGCTTCATTACACTCCCTCCTGCACAACGCAGCTTTCCAGATGAATAACCACACTGCTTACGACTTTCTGCACAACGCGGGTTCCCTCCCAGTCGGATATCCACACTGCTTACGACTTCTATTCCCAGGAGGAGAAGTGGAAAGCAGGAGCGTTCGCTCGCTCATGTCCTTACGTACGTTGTCGTTGGTAAGTGGGATCAACATCCATACTTCATCGAGAGCTTTTCTCAATCAAAACAGAGGGAAAAGAATAGGCAGGGAGGAAAGCCGCGGGATAATACAAAGATAAGCCAGAGTTGGAATCAACCAAAAAGATAATACAGAACGGAGGGAAAAGAACAGGCACGGAGGAGAGCCGCGGGAACCGTCGAAAAATGAGAACGACGCAAATAGATAGTACAAAGATAAGCCAGAGTGGGAATCAACCAAAAAACAATAGCAAGAAAAAAAAAGACTAAGGCATCCACACAACACAATGTGGAATGGGGGGAATCAACCCAAAAGCAAAGAAAAACAATACGAAGGAAGACATCAGCAGCACAAACCAATGCGGAAACCCACAGAACTCGACGTCCAGCAGTTACATCACCGACGTCTTCGTTCAAGAGAGAAAGGGGGATTTGTTCACTCCTTACTTTCGGGCAGGAGGATACCCGTTTCCTTCCTTTCTCGTTCTTTCTTCGACAAAGAACGAAGAAATAATTCGAGAAAACATTTCTTCGTCAACGTCAACAAACAAAATGCTGAGAGCATTACTCCGACGACATATTGAGAGCACTTCTCCAAAAAAACACGTTCAATCCATATCTTCGACACTCGAAACGAAACAACAAAAGTGTTCAGGGCTAAGTGGCTTTTGCCATATCTACCACCACAGCAGGAATCCGGAAACCCGCCGCTTTAAACACCACGCTGGAATCAAGCACGGCAAGTCCGCCGAATACACAGTTAAACCTACCTCAAGGTTAACCATCCGTCCACTCATTCACGCAACCTGTTGCAAGCAAACTGTAACCTTTAAGTCTTCAGTGACCGGGTAGCCCCGTTCTGCAAAAGAGTTCACGCCGGATTGCTGACATGATATTCCTCATACAACCTCACCGACCAGGCAAACATTGCTCCGTGATAAGCCGGAGAATAATCTTCCTACTCCTATACCTATCGATACGCAAGCGTTCTGTTCTCTCTTCGAATAATCAAGTGTTCCATATGCGCAAGGAGACGCAGCTCAGCCGACGAAGACAAAAAAACAAAAAAGACTACACCAGTCAAAAGCCCACTGACTGCTCGAAATATCCGAACCACATATATGTGTACGGCCTCGTGTACAAAGACGAAGGCGATTGCGTTCTCTCTTCGTATTACAGTAAGCGTTCCATATGCAAGGAGACGCAGCTCAGCCCGTTAACACGAAGTGTTTCTGTGATTTCTTGGACGGAGTAACGCTCTCTGCTGACGAGCCCGTTGCTATTCGAGCCTTTGCCAATGACGAAAACGTCGTCATGTACTTCAAAAAACAAAAAAAAAAACACCTACCCTCGTCGGACGCCTACCGACCCCCTCGAAATATCCAGAAATATCCAAACCACACATGTGCACGGTCACGTACAAAGACGAAGGCGAATGCCTTGCGCTTGTGGCCGTCCTTCATTGAATTTGGCTGCATTTTCCGATAATCTCCCGGGGTCGTTCGTACCGTGTCCCCCTTCCCATGACCTGCGCAGCAACCTCTGCCTTGCAACAGCCCGACGACGAGTACGCGAGCATTAACAACCTGCCTTCGAGGGGAAGACACGTTTAAATGCTAAAAGGCGAAAATCCTATCGATTACCGTCTTACCTCGAACACACCACACCCTCACTTCGGCTGCACCGGACCGGAATGAAAGCGTGTATACATTCGCTATCAGGGTGTGTTGTATTCGGGGGAAGACGGTTAACATGCCACGTTGACATACATTCCTGTCTCCTTCCCAACACACCTGTTTTCTATCCACATCGAAAGGTAATCAGAACTTCTTATCAGATGTGCTTCAGTACTTCTCACATCCAAACATGTTACAAGTCGGTTTATGTCAAACAACTCTTTGTGCTTTCGGACACGAAAGCGTCTCCGTTTCCGAGCCTCTTGCGACGAGCCTGAGGGCATTCTCACACTACCACTTTTTTTTACTTATTTCTGGACGGAATTGCGGCCAGATGCATATATGTTCTGCCGTAAATGCGGTCAGGTGTTCATCTGAGATAGTGGTAGTGCAAGTATTCCCAGAGATTCGCCGGATAGCTGCATCACTGACAAACAGTCGGCTGCCGTTTGTTCTGTTGCTGAGGAGTGCCAGGCGCGCAGCCTGGCCCAAACGCATCAGCGAAAAAATTGCGTTAAGTTCCATGCTGAGAACTGTACATGCGGAGTAACGCAAATCTACTTCTCAATGCTTGTACAAGAAGCAGTCTATGGCCACTGTTTTCAGTCTAACTCGTCGACGTAGTCACGCCATATCCATATTTACCGCTATCGCTTCTGTCCTCTTGGCTGGCAATTACCCATACCACACCCTTCTGCCCGCTCTTCCGAAAATCTCGTGCTGCTCTCATACCCGCCTTGGTGAAAAAGAAACATACTTCATTTCCTACTACTACGCAGGGCGTTTGTCGTGCCCTCAGCTTGGCAGACAAACAAGCACGCTCGATCATCGTTCTCTAATATTTAAATCGCGCACCTGAGGAAACTTCGTCGCTTGTTCCACCTCATTTTCGATCGTCTCGTTGATTCCTGTCCTTCCCACGAACTCATTGTAGACGTTTCGCAATCCGCTCTAGCCCGTACTTGTGTGTAACAAGACACTACTACGTACTTGTGTGTAACAAGACACTACTACGTACTTGTGTGTAACAAGACACTACTACGTACTTGTGTNTACTTGTGTGTAACAAGACACTACTACGTACTTGTGTGTAACAAGACACTACTACGTACTTGTGTGTAACAAGACACTACTACGTACTTGTGTGTGTGACAAGACACTACTACGTACTTGTGTGTGACAAGACACTACTACGTACTTGTGTGTGACAAGACACTACTACGTACTTGTGTGTGGCAAGACACAACTACGTACTTGTGTGTGACAAAACACTACTACCACTTTGCCTATGGCCATATATTGTTATCCTCGCTTAGGGCTCAATTAGGGCTGCCCTACATATACACCACTCAACGCGCATTCAAACCTACTGAAAGACAAGAGTCCCCAATTTTTCATAATACCTATATGTACAGCGAAGAGACGGAGATGAGAGTTATTTTGCTGGGCCCCACTCCTCAAAAAGAGTAAGCTATGACAAATTGTGTTGCCACATGCACACCTCCCCGCCTAGGTTTCTCGTAACAGTTGGGAATGCTCCCACGATCAGCTGTGACCAAATCGTTTCTCTAAAATAAGAATAAATACCAGTGCACCTGCCATCTATACCGAAAACAAACAATTCAAAAAAATAAAACATGCGAAAAGTCCGGGCAAAAGCAAGAAATGTCAATCCCGAGGGTCACAGCCAGTCTACGCAGATTAACCAGAGAACATTATCTCACGATATCGAATGACATGCACGTTATAAAAGAACAGTGCCCGTTAAACAAATACAAATCGATGGGAACTACCACACTCCATGGAAAACATAGCATATAGGCCAAAGCACCGAAAAGATGCCTGATGAGCAGGCGGATTCCGCGCCATGCACCTTACTCGGGAGCAATTGCCAAGCAAAAATTACGAAGAAAAAAATAGCTAGGAAACTAGCTCAGAAACTTCATTTCTCCCTGAACTCGAAATATCATTCATTATCACACACGTCTATCTTCCCGTACTGGCCTGCTATACCATGACCATTTGTTTCACCGAGCCAATTACAAAAAGAGCATCGCATCAGAACTCCCTTTCGGCCTCAATCAAGAACTAGGGCTCGGTGACCAGCTTTTCGTGCTCTTCCTACCCTGATCTTGCTAAAACAAGCGCCCCATCAGCACATTATCAACGGCCAAAAGAGCCCACAAAAATAGCTCTCTCTCTCTCTCTCTCTCTCTCTCTCTCTCTCTCTCTCTCTCTCTCTCTCTCTCTCCCCCCGCCCATTTTCCCCCGACCGGACCGAAGTACTACAAAAGCACTGGAGTAGGGACAAGTGTGAACCCAGATATGTTCGCAAGCCAAAAAAAAGCGTTTCAGGAGAAACCCTCCGTTTCCCGCTGTATAACACACTTCAATCAAAAGTCCTTTGCCAGTAGTACTAACCCTGACCACTGCCAACCCACGAATGCCCGACAAAAAAGCAAAACACCCTTAACACATAATAAATATAGCAATCCATGAACTGCAAGAAAGCAAATTACAACGTGCCTTCACCCCCCTCAACTTCGACCATCCGGTTTAGGGCTGTTGTTCCGCTCTGCTACACCGAAACCAACTGCTTTGCCACAATCGGAGAACGCTGATCATGACCACCAAGTCCAGACGTCGACGCAACATTTCACGCAAATTGACTGAAATCCCAAGACTACAGAATCCACTTTCTTGATAGAGTTTCTTGATCAGATCAGCGACTTTGAAGAGCTACCACATGCTATTAGACCCTGATAGCACTGTCCTTCGAGTTCCTACGAGCGCCATCATCAAAGAGTGATTTGGCATTACTCCAGAGACAAAAAAAAAGAAGACTTGGCATTACCGACCGCTTCGTCCGAGGAAGAGCTCAAAGACTACTGGTAGGGTAACGCGCGACTAAAACATTAATTACTGCTCAACACCTCACTAAGAATTAGAGAAATTTGCAAAAGACTCCTAGCCACCATATCCATAAACAACACCGGCGACTGCAACTTAACCTTGCCAAGGCCATTTGCACGCAGTTCCGAGCACAGGAAATGACTTGCTTCGGTGTCTCCAGCATTTCAACAACTTGAACACCGACAGATTGCGTAGAGCTTTAGGGACTCCATCAGTTTGGACTACTCGCCATCCGCCAACATTTTGAATGCATAAAGACAACCACCCTTCTCAGATTCATTCCGAATTATAGCCAATGGCGAGTGGTGCAACAACTGTAGGATCTTAGAGAATACTTAGGGTCCAGTTCGGTACATAACCAATACGTGCCTAATTTGTCGCTTCCACTGGCCGGATCCTGTTCTTCCCCAGTTTTTCTCGCTACTAGGAAAATCCTTACTTCCGTGTTCAAGAATTGTGCTTCTTTTTCATCCGCTTCGGCCGCAGAAAGAATTCAGGATTCAGCATCGCAAAGAACACTACGAAAATATGTATTTTATATATATTGTCACACTGTGAATCAGAGCGCGAAGGCGAAAAAAAAAAATACATATATTGTCAGGCGAAAAAATATATACATATATATACATAGGCAGAGAGGGAGAAGAGGACAACAAACGAGCGGCTGTGACAAACTGTTTCGTATATACGTCGATGATTAGAAATCGTCATCTCGACCTCGCTACGTCGTCGAAAACTCTCCCTCCCCAAGAGACTATTTTCGGCTCGGCGACAGCGAGTCTGTATCCAATACCACGTTTTAGCACAGAAACCGGGGCACCCACCCAGTCTGAGAAAGTGGCTTTTCATGCAGCAAGGAGTGAGAACTAACTTCTTCACACGAATACAACGCACAGTCACATGAGCTGTATTTGGGGTATCCTCCCGTCTAAATACACCAATAACGACAATAGATGTATTCGGGTGAAGAAGAAGGTAAAGGGCAAAAAGAACATGGCAAACAGCAGCGAGAACAAATGACGAGCGCAAATGGAGCAACGCTAGCGGTTGTAGAATTAAGGAAAAAAAAGAGAAGAGTCGGGAAAGGGAAATACAGAGCTGGAAAAATCTGCCGGTCAGGACTTATTGCAACAACCCCTGCTCACGCAGCCAAGCGAAACCAGGACGCCAGAACCAGGGCTGCGAACCAAGCCCCAATATACCTAATCAACTCAAACGTAGGCTGATATTGTACGCTCCTCTCTCTCTCTCTCTCTCTCTCTCTCTCTCTCTCTCTCTCTCTCTCTCTCTCTCTCTCTCTCTCTCTCTCTCTGTGACACACCTGCTCGGTTGTTCTCAGCTCTCGCGTACGCTCTTGCCTATTTGGGTGCCACCAAATTAGCTCTGTTCACCCCTTCAATCAAGCAAAAAAAGAGGCGAGTGACCATTCATTCGTCTATCCTTGACCAAAAGTAGCCGAGTAAAAGGTCATCCCTGAAACCGGCCGGCACTGCTCGACCGCTGCGCCAACAACGGGTGCAGAGCATCGTCGAGAATTGGAAGACCCAAGCATCCACGGACTTCTTTGACCGAACAAACAAGGCAACAAATAAACGAGCTAGGCGGCAATTCCACACAGTGTGTGGCTAGAAACAAAAGAGCCAAAAAATTGATACAAAGAAAAATAGAGGGAAGGTTTGCCAGTGACACAACAGTCTCATTTACGGAAAATCGCCGCAAAGCCGTGACAATACGGACCGTCATGGTGACTGTAAAAAGGAGGTTGCGATAGTGCCACTTCATGCGCTGTAAGTGATTCATGGGTGTGAAGCTACAGATGGAGGGCATGACACACGAGCAATTCCACCTTATACATCAAAACGAAGGCCTTACATGAAGAGGAACTGCACTTACTTCTGCCATGCCGAAAATACAAATAGGGCGGAAAAGAGCGTCCGCCCCATAAAAGATGTGAACGTCATGGTGACGACTTCTCGCTTCAATGGACACCCCAAAGTAGAGAATTCCCTTCTCGCTCCCTTATTCCGTTCAGTTGAGACGCGCGCACGTCCTTCTTCCTTGGACCAACGAAATGCGCTGTCGACGGACAAGGAAAAGCAAAGAGAACCAATTCCTGATGATATCAAACGAAAGAGAAAGAAAAAGGCGCGGGAGAAGAATTCGTCCCGCCGCCCCTCGCCAAACCAGTTGCGAAAATTTCAGAGAGCCGCCAAATGGCCAAATGTGGACAGAGACTCTGCAGCAAATAAGGCCGCTCTTGGCTGCAACGCCGGGTGGTTGATACGATATGGCGTACGTCTCCTGGGGCAAGCCAGATGGAGATGGCGGCGATGGTGAGAGAGAGAACGGCAGGCGAGGGGCGGACAGATTCTTGGCTTGCCAACCTTCTGGTTCCACGCCCACTTTGCCCCGCCCTCCTCTCCCTCTTCCTCCCAATAGCTCTCGAGCCGCTCCCCGTCACTTTTCCTCCCTGGTGACCGTTCCCTGCCGTCCCATCCTGTCCCTCAACCACGCCGCTTCCGTTCCGTCAGAACGAAAAAACGCCAGGTCCCAGTATAAAAGTGTCCCATATCTTTCAGTTGACCGCGTCCTCAGCCAGTGCCCGCCAGCGGGAAAGACCTGCCCAGTGCCCACCCACTCGACCAACGACGAAAATGATTGTGAATGTGTCTCACCGGTGGAGTACGGGTGGCGGGAGGCCGGAAGTGGAGGGGGGACCGTATGAAGAAAAGAACAATTTGCAGGTTGGCGGGTAATGAACCGGGCCCCCGTGAGGTTTGGAAATCTCCCTTGACTACGGTCTTTCCCTCCCCAAACCGAATACGGCGAGTACCGCCGGAAGCTCACACGGGGTTGTTGTTGTTGGACTTAATAGCCCAACCTATACCGTGCAGATCAGTGAATTCGAAAACCTTGAAGACGGGCGATCAGTTGGCTCGCGTTCTGCTACTGGCTCACACGGGAGCTTATTCTGCTATAAGTGGGCAGAAACCCCTGGTGTGAGCTGTACTCATCGTTCCCAAAGCATACCATTTTATTTTATTTTTTTCTGACGGGGAAAGTGCATAGTCCCCTCCCAGCCTCTCGTCACAAGTCAATACCGGCAAGCCCCTCGCCCTTCCAGGCATCGCCACCAGATGGTAACTTCTCTCCCCACACACCTATGCGCTTCGCGGCCTCCCGACGGGTGGCCTGGAGGCAAACGAGCAGCGTCCCGCTCGGTAGAATCCAGTTCGGCTGCCAACTTGACTGTCAGATCAGTATCGCAACGGTCCAGGTCCGCGGCCGTAGTTCTTTCTAGTGGTCACTGCCACAGCAGGTTCGGCAAATGCAGGCTCGTGCAGGGTTGGCGGGTGATTCAGTAGAATCATCGTGGTTCTAGAGACTGCCCGTCAACTTGTGTGAGTTCCCAGTGTCACGGTAGAAGTCAAGTCGGTAGTCATGGAAAAAACCTAGAAGGCATGGCAAGGGGTCATCGAGCATTCCTCCGATGATAGAGTCGTACTCCCAAATGAAAGTAATGATAAACTGAGGACATGGCAAGGGACCCTAGGGGCCTCGTTCCGCTACTCTCCATCTGCCACGTGTGGCGGATGCGACTTCTTTCCACTGCGTCGCCAAGAGCCACAAAATAAACTATGTGCAACGGTGGTTCAGTTCGCAGCCAAAGGCTGCGCTTACCTGGATTGCAAGCTTTTTTTTCCTTTTCGCGAAATGTCGTGGGATTCAATAGAGGCTGGCGGTGGTGTTTTTGGCCTTTAGAGGGAGGCGGGAAGGGTGCGGTCGCAGCTAGGAGACGGACCGGTCGTTGCACGCTTTGGGCAATTGTTTCATGTGGTCGGTCGAGGTTTTTGATAGTCGGCGACCTGTTTTTCCTTTTCAGGCAAACAGGCTACAAGCTATACAGGCTACTAACAGGCTAGGCTACTACAGGCTAAGGCTACAGGCTATATCGTCGGAGGCTTTTACTACTACTACAGGCTACAAGCTATAATCTCGGAGGCTTTCATAATCGAGAGTCGAGGAAGTGGTTATATTGGGTGTTTTTTTTTTGTTTTTTTTTTTTGAAGAAAAAAAAAAAAGAGGACTAGTCTTTCGAAAAAGTTGCTTTTGTGGGTTTTTTTTTTTTTTTTTTAACCTCGGATGTGGCCGAGGCATTGCGGCCTTGGCAGAGCTTTTTTTTTTTTTGAGATTGAAAAAAAAAAAAAAAAAAAAAAAAAAGAGAAAAGAGGACTAGTCTTTCGAAGATGTGGCTTTTGTGGTGGGGGGGGTGAGAAAATAGCCAGCAAAATAGCCAGGAACCGGGCCTGCCGTCGGTCGAAGTGATTTTGAAGTGGAGGCTTTCATAATCGAGGGTCGACGAAGCGGCTATACCCCTTCGATATAGGCGTTGTTGGTCAGTTTGTTAATGCATAGCTTTAGCGGTAGACAAACGATAGGCTGGTTTACTGGCCCTGCCGTCCCTGTTGTTTGTTTTTTTTTTTTGTGAGAAAATAGCCAGGAAAATAGCCTGGAACCGGGCCTACCATCGGTCGAAGTGATTTCGAAGTGGAGGCTTTCATAATCGAGGGTCGACGAAGCGGCTATACCCTTTCGATATAGGCGTTGTTGGTCGGTTTGTTAATGCATAGCTTTGGCGGTAGGCGAACGATAGGATGGTTCACTGGCCCTGCCGTCCCTCGAAGTGACTTCGAAGTAGTTTTGAGATTTTGTCGGGTTTTTTTTTTTTTTTTTTTTTTAGGCTAGGCTAATTCCTGCATTGTCGTTGGGTAATTGCCATTGTTATATTATATTATTTTTTTGCTTTTTTCTTCTCTTTGGAATGGGCCTGTCGTTTTGTTAATAGTCGAGGGTTGAAGGAGTGGTAGAATATATCAGGCTTTTTATTTTGTTTTTTTGTCGTCTATATAGGCATTTTTTCTCTTTTGGGGAGTAGATTCCTTTTTCGGTGAACATAGGTTTTTCGATCAAAAGGTTCGGTCAAATTTATTTATTTATTTATTTATTTTTAAGAAAAAGAAAAGAGGGTTAGTGCTTCGAAGTGGGCTTTCATAATCGAGGGGCGAGGAAGTGGTTATATTGGTCTTTTTTTTTTTTTTTTTTTTTTTTTAAGAAAAGAAAAAAGACGACTAGTTTTTCGAAGAAGTGGCTTTTGTGTTTGTTTGTTTGTTTTTTGCGAGAAAATAGCCAGGAACTGGGTCTGCCGTCGATCGGAGTGATTTCGAAGTGGAGGCTTTCATAATCGAGGGGCGAGGAAGCGGCTATACCCCTTCGATAATACAGGCATTGTTGGTTGGTTTGTTAATGCATAGCCTTGGCGGTAGACGAACGATAGGCTGGTTCATTGGCCCTGATGTCTCTTGAAGTGACTTCGAAGTTGTTTTGAGACTTTTGTCGGTTTTTTTTTTTTTTTTTTTTTTTAGGTTAATTCCTGCATTGCTGTTGGGTAATTGTCGTTGTGGGTATTTATTATTTTGCTTTTTTTGTGTTGCGTTTACGAACGAAAACGAATTCTCGTTCGTTATATGCATACATGCATAGGCTTGGTAGTAGACGACAGGCTTTTGATGTTGTGGTCTGTTCATTTATCAATTCATCTGGGAGGGTTTTTTTTTTTAATATTTTGGGTTCATTTTTTTGGGGGGGCGAGTTTTCTTCGGTTGGGGTACGTTAGAAATTGTAATAACAAAACACCACGAGTACAGTCATAACTAAAAAATAGACAAGTTCTTACAACCTCTAGGCAATTAGTCAGTTCATAAGGTCAGTTAACATTGTCATAGCCAACAATTTAATTTTCTTTAGTTTGTTCATTGTATACATTCAAAAATCGCTTGGGCCCTTCTATTTTAATCTTTTCTACAACAATTGGTTGTCCGCTCCTAAACTTCTTCTTCGCTTGATAATAACATTCTCTTTTGACTACTTTTCATTCTATATTCATATCAAATGCTTTGTTTTTTGTAATTTGCACTCGGTTCCCATCAACTCGACAATAAATCCCACAACATGAATGCATACAGACTTCAGCTCTTGAACTATATTCATATGGAATGCTTTGTTTTTCCAAATTTATATTCAATTTGCATCAACTCGACAACAAATCCCACCACATGAATGCATGCACACTTCACCTTTTTAGAAATTCAATATTGTTATAATAAATCAGCTCAACCCTTTCATTCTTAAGACCTCGCCACACACACTTTCGAAACGTGCAAAAAAAAAATGAACTTTTTACTAGAAAACGACTTAGATTCACTCGCAACATTTTTTGTTTTTTTCATGTTTCGAAAGCCTGTGTGACAAGGCCCTTATTTTCTCTGCAACAATTGCCTATGCTCCACTCAACCCGCAAACAAAAACAAATTCACCAAATCATGGTCACTGCGCTAACTTATCCCAACCCCGGGAAAGAAACAACACCTATGTATTTTCAATCCAACAAAGCCCATAAACAAAAAAGAGGGAGGCGAGAAAGGTGCGGTCACCGATGGGAGACGGACCGGTCGTTACACACTCTGGCCAATCGGTCGTTTCACGCAAACAGACTTTTTCAAAGGGATACTACGGAGGGTTGAAGGAGAGTGGTCGAATATAGGCGATTCTTTTTTTTTTACCACAAAAAGGCTTGTGGGTCCGAACGAAAAGCGAAAAAAAAAAAAAAAGGTTCCACACGTCGGGGGAAACCGTGGAGGAGGTGTGATCATAACACTAGCTTCCAATAATGTATCTGCCCAGAAATCATACCTTGTTCCATTTTCTGTTTTTTTTTTTTTTTTTTAGTGCCCTGCCAACGACGCAGGGCGCTTTCCACGGACGGCTGAACTTGCAATAGACGGCGCACTCTCACATGTTCTCAACTTCTCAAGATTCTGTACAGAGCCATCCCTACGTCCACAGACTAGCTTCCATAGCTTGTTTCGTTTTTTGTTTTTTTTTCCTGTTTTTTACTGTTTTCTTTTCATTTCCTTGTAATGCCCTGCTTGAGTGTTTTTGGGAGGCTTTGTGCGAGTGGTCGATACAGGATATTCACATAGGTTTTTCCCAGGCTTTGAGCACCACTTTCCCGCTACAACTACTTTACTACTTTACCCTGGCTGCGCCCCCGCGCCCTGCGCGGCACAGTAGAATCATCATGGTTTTAGAGACTGCCCGTCAACTTTTGTGAGTTCCCAGTGTCACGGTAGAAGTCACGCCGGTAGTCATGGAAAAAAACTAGAAGGCATGGCAAGGGGTCATCGAGCATTCCTCCGATGATATAGTACTCCCAAATGAAAGTAATGATAAACTGAGGACATGGCAAGGGACCCTAGGGGCCTCGTTCCACTACTCTCCATCTGCCACGCGTGGCGGATGCGACTTCGTTCCACTGCGTCGCCAAGAGCCACAAAATGAACTCTGTGAGAATTTCGGTCTCGAATCGCTTGGCGATCGGTGGGTCGCCAAGGCCCCCGCCTGCAACGGCCCTTCGTGGAGGGTAGTACTCCTCACCCTCCGCGAACTGCTTCAT